ATAGAAGATGCATAACGATGTATGTGAGTCCCTCTGATGTGTATGACTCACTGAGAAGCCATTTTTCTGACTCTGGTTAAATATAATGGGAGGACTATGAATTCTGAAGCATTCGACTTAAAAAGCAAGGAGAAAGTTATTAAGCAGAATTTCATCAAGTGTTAAATTATAAGTATTACTATATAAGACTGTAACTAATTATTTCCACATTTTCGTAAGACCACAAAGAAGTGAGAAAAGACGAAACACTGCCATGAATTATCAAATGGTATAAGCCTTCCTCTGCTTAGATATAAATGGGGTGAAATAACTGATTTCTCAATAGCCTGCACAAAAATATCTGTGTACACATCTACAATATGAGACAATATTTCAAAAAAATATGAAACTTGGCAATTGCTCAGCTAGTCCAAACTTTACTTGGTACTGCTTCCTTCACTTGGGTCACCACACTCCTTTACTTAATATCAAGGTTGTTCTACTAGTGAATAAATAGATATAATTTCCTGAATAGCATCAGTCGTTCATTGTGTTATCCATCTCTTCTTTATCCAATCAAATCATAGGCAGAATTCTGTTCAGTTCTCCAATGTAAGTGGAATATTCCAAAGTAAAGTCAGGGAGAAAAGTCAAATCAGGCCAGGGTTCTTTTTAAACCATGACATCTGCCCGGTGTTGACCTGTGACCAGGGCAGCAATGTCCAGTGTATGATCCAGGCTTTGGTTAGTCTTGGACTGCCAGATGGGGTAGAGAACATGACTTTGAGCACCCCCACAACGTGTCTTCCTTACCTTCTGTTATTACCAGAGTTCTGCTCTTAAAGCTTCAAACAGAAACCATGGCTAAAGGGAGAGAGCTATTTAAAGTGATCTGCATTCTCATATGCATCTAGCCATAAAGAAGAGGGAATTACATGCCCATCATCCCACACTACATCTGCCTGTGTAATTTACTGTCATAATAACAAGGAACAGAGATGCATAATAGTTCAAATAGCTGAGGAATTAAATTATTGCCCTAAGAGAACTCAGGTCCAGTTCTTATTATCATAGCTTTGATTTCTGGAATTAAATTTAATATCCATGAATTCAATTATCTGTTTGGACACTATTTAAAACAGCAGCACACAACTGTGTTTTAATGATGCTGCATCTTCTCCAAGAATATTGGACATGCCAGCATTACAATTCTAACTGTAGCTTTTAGGAGTAGCCAGAAGCACTAAAAGGGGGAAAGTACTTTTCTACCATGAGTGAAAGGCCAGATCATTGTTCTATGATGTAAGAAAGATGAGCCAGTTTCATAAAGCTGAGCATAGTATAATAAAACACAAGGAGAGAGCAGTTTGTGAAAGTGCGAGGCTGAACAACATGGGACAATCTCTGCATAAACCATGCAATAAACACAATAAAACGATTGATAAGATGGTAGAATATTCACATCACAATCCCAAATTCTGAAGGCTGTCCACTTACAGCTAATGGCTTTTCCAGGTTTTTTTGTTTGTTTATTTGTTTTTCTTTTTGAGACAGGGTCTCCCTACAGCCCCAGCTGGCCTGGAACTCACTATGTAGAGCAGGCTGGCCTTGAACTCACAGAGAGCCGCCTGCTTCTGCCTCCCAAGTGCTGGGATTAAAGGAGTGTGCCACCATGCCCAAGTACTTTTCCAGGTTTTAAACACTAATAATAAAGAAATATCTACGGATGGAGGAAACTGAAAACATTGAACATCCTAGGAAAATCTGAATATATAAGAAGGTCAAAGAACAGTGAGGTACGGGGAGGAAATAAATCACCGAGAATACAATTTTCTGTGTCAGCACACAAGATCATACTTGGTGGGGGATAAATTCTAACACGAAGGTGACTCCATTTCCAAATGAAGGCTGAACTAGAAATAATTACACTTGGCGCTGCCTCCTGGGGGTCTCTGTAGAGAATGATTCACACACTAGTTCTCCTTCTTACAAAACTCATGCACAACATTTCACCATTTGCATGATCTGAAACAGTCATGCGACATTCTAGACATGATAAAATGATAGAATAAAGATCAGCGGTTTGAGACAGAGGAGTAAGCCTGCAGCACACTGAGGAGTTTTCTGTTCATGAAGCTTTTCTGCCTGACAGCACGGAGGGGCTATAGCATTATAAAAATGTACATCTCTGGTGGTTGCACTGATCATGGGGAGTTTGGAGATGGGAAATAATAGGAACATGGAACATCTCTGTACCCACTGCCTACTTTTACTGCAAACCCAAAGCTGCCTTAAAATAGAATAGTTTCTTTAAAAATAGAAATACTTTTAGAAGTTTTATTTC